TTTTTTCCGCCAAAAGAAAAAGAAAACTAGAAATAAGCAATAACAATTTATCATGCAATTAATAAATCATCTATCAAACCATGTAAACCAGATTATTTATAATTGGGTGTATTTCAGATAAAAATAATTGATAAAGATTATTTATAATTGGGTGTATTTCAGATAAAAATAATTGATAAATATATATAAGAATTACACATTAAACTATGAAATATAAAAGTCAAAACTTCCAGTATTAACGGTGAAGTAGTTTGAGAGAGAGAAAATAGAGAAAGTTAGATTACGATTTGATTTGCATCATTTTGGGTTGACTTGCAAAGCATTTAATTTTTTAAAATTTTTTTTATTATTTTTTATTTTAGGACATTTGTCACATTACTTTTACGTTTCATCCTACTCACATGTGAGTAAACAAGTATGGTCCGTACAATATAGAAATATATATATAATTTTTATTCTTTCCTTTATAATAATTATTATTATTTCTTTCTTTCCCTCTCTCCTCTCAAAATTCATATTATAAAAAGATTCTTCCCTTTCCTTATATAAATAAAACCCTTTTCTTCATTCAAAAAAATTTTTTATTGGATTTTTATCATTTTAAGTTTTAATTGAAGTAATATTATGAAATTGAGTTCTGATTGAAGTAAAGTTATAGAATTTGAGTTTCAATTATTACGTGAAATATGGAAAGAGAGATTACAATGGATGGAATCCTTTCACAATATGGTGTTATATATATATATGCACACGTAAAAACGGAAATGAAAAATAAAAAAAGGGAAGGGAAATTTTTTTTGATATAAGGATTTTATTTATTCTTCTTATAAAGAAAAGAATAAAGATTATTTATATGTGTGTGTATATATATAGAGAGAGAGAGAGAGAGGAGGAGGAGGAGGAGGAGGAGGAGGAAAGAATTTTACAGGTAATTTGGTTCTGAAAATTTATGTTTTGTAGTTCCATAATAGTAGGAAAGATACATTAATTATGACTTTCAGGATTAGTATTTCAACCAATCATATACGCAACAGCACTCCTCATGAAGATTAATTCACACACCTGATACTCCAATCTATCCACAAGTTAGAAATTTCTTAGTTCAGATTCTCGCAGGTCTGAATAACATTATTTTCTAATGAATAAAAATCTCTCATTTAGATTCTCAGCTAGCTAGGCGTATTACTTAGATTTAAATAGCATTATTCTAGATTTTTGTGTAAGTTTCTAGTAATTGAGAATATATATGAAGTTTCTAGTAATTGAATGTAGTGATGGAACTCACTTAATGAATGATCTAATAATTAAAAGACTTCAAAAATATGATACCCCAAAGTATTATAGACTTTTTCATTAAGATCAACTTAATTGAAGAGAGTGAAGTTACAAGGAAATTTATTTATTTATTTATTTATTTATTTTTACCCTAGAAAAGGGGTACCTGAACTTTTCCCTTTCAGAAGGTTGTTGAACATTTGTGTGGCTTTGGTTAGGGATGACGCTAATAACTTTTAGTAGTTAATTAGGTACTAATAAATTAGTTGGTGACATCATTGTTCAAACTTTGTCTACCTGTGGCCATCTATCTGTATTAATTAAATACTCATTTGTGAGATGGTACCATTCATAAATTATTAAATTATTATTGATGTCTAACTATATTTGCCCATGCACCCATTAATTTAATTCATTGTAATCTATATAATATAATAAAGTACATTTGTACTAAGTTTTTAATAATTCTACTGAGCACTTCATTAATCTCTCTCTCTCTCCGGCTAAACTTGCCATGTGTCATCACGCTTGAAAGTATCATAACATGTTCTTAAAGCACGGCTTGAGCATAATAGTGTTTGGAAGTATTCGTATTCGTTTTATTTCTGTTGTTTTAATTTTTAAATTATTACAGTATTAATTTTGACAATAAAAACATAATTGATGTGACTTTATTTTATTTTATATAGTACTAAAACACTTCATGAACAGTGTCTCAAAACTAAAATATTAAAAAGTTATTTTTTCTTATGTTGATAACTGTTCATGACCCAAAATAATAACAGTAATACAACACCGCCCAAAAACAAAACGCCTAAAACATCGTCCCTCTAATAGTTTATTTTATTTTATTTTATTTTTATTTTTTAAAAAAAACACTCCTACAGCATAAGCATGGTTTCTGTTTTAGTCAAAAACAAAATTTCTAAAACAAAGCGTTATTATGCTAAAGACATAATCAGCGTTACAGACTTGGGATGTTTTATGCAAGGTAAAGGAATACCGTCATTGTGAATGATGTTGGTGTGGTGCCGACCGAAGATGCTTCGACGGTCAAGTTAGTGACTATAAATAGTTGTAAAGCTTGAATCGCAATATATTTCAAGTACCTCATTTAAATGGTGTTTAATTTGAATTGTATTTAAATTAGTCGGAAATTGCATTTATCTCCTCTCAACACTCCACGCATATCAACTAATACCGTCATCCCAATCTTCTGAAAATTTGAATTTGAATATGAATTTGAAAACAGATTCTATCTAAATAGTTAATCATCTGTCATAGAGCTATTTTTTCCTCATTAATAATAATAATAATTATAACTGTGAATTAATGTTATTAGTTATTATTACTAATTAATTTTTTGAGCTGAATAGGTAATTACAGTACAGAGAATTTTTAGTTTTGTAGTGGTTTATTACAAGGATATAGCCTAGAGGGCACTCTAGGAGTTATATAATTTTATAGAACTCAATATTAGTTTATATTTATAAGAGAGAGTAATTGATGAAGGCAAATCAGATTGGTGTCAGTGTTTTTATTTTTTATTTTTTGTTTTACCTTGGTGGAGTTTTACATTAATCAAATTTCTACCTCTCTAGCTTATGTTTTTTGTTTTTGTTCTACCTAGGTGGACTTTTACGTTAATCAAATTCGTACCGTCTCTTATGTGTGTAATGTTCTCATCATAATTACATTAGCCGTATTTGCTTTAGCGGCATGTTTGGGCGTCACACTATTTATTTATTTATTTATTTGAAGAATTAAGAGAAGCTTGATTGGTTCGGTTTTGTTAGAATAATTTTCTGTTTTAATAGAAAAAAAAAGTACAAAATTATCTGCTTTATATTTTTTGAAAATTATTTTATGAGTATTTTATTTTTTAAATTAATAAGAAACACACTTATATATTTACTTTTTATTTATACTGTTACTTGAAACTTCAAAAATAAAAATTCTTTTAAAATACGGGAAATATCACTAGGTTATAATGTATTTGGTGCTTTACGAGAATTTAATTATATAGAAAATTATTTTAGAAAATAATAATTTATAATTTTTTGAAAATAGTGTTCAAATATCTGTTGGGAAAAAATTGAACCAGAAGGTTGAAAGAAATTTGAGTGTGGGACCATATTCATTTCATTTTGATGTCTCAAGTATCTTGTGACAATTGGTGGAGGAAACTTCACTCGCTTGAATGCTGGTGAAGTAAATTGGTATTACTTACATGACAAGGAAAAAAGGACGACATTTAGCATTTATTTATTATTTTATTTTTTGTAAGCAACCATTTAACATTATCTAATAAATTTGAATTTAAACATTTCTGTTTAACTCTAAAGAAATGGAAGCAGTGAATGCACACCCATTCTGAGATTCTTAAAATTTTAAGAGATTAGGCGAAATTTCAAATGCAAGATCTTTTATATATAAAGTTTCACACGAGCAAAAAATATATATTTAAGGTTAAAAACACAAAAGCAAAAATCAGTCTTGATACTTTATATATATCACAATCCAATTTACATTATTTTTTTTTTTTAAAAAATATTCAACATAACTTAGTTACAAAAATCAAAATTCAACTTCATATCAAAGTAGTCCAATCACTGTCATCATTTTGTTGTTTGAACTCGGTTGAGTTAAAAAATTGAAAGTTGATTGCATCCATAATTTAAAATTTTAGTTTTTTTTTTAACTAGGCTTAACTATCATTCATCCACGTGAGTCCAAAATTAATATAATAAAAAAATAAGTTTTTTGTTTATATATAAAAAATATTTTTTTATTTTGAAGGAAAAGGATAGAAACGAATTATTTTTACCATATAAATTATTGTATTACATATATAAATTGATATTATAAGTAGGTATTTATTGTCATAAATTTTTTTTGTAACATTCTTTATTGCCATAAATTTATGTGATATATGATTGTGCATAATTTTTTAATTATGAAAATTATGGCCTAAAATGAATGTCTTTTAATTGATTAAAAGGCTAGTTACATTTAATTATGGGAAGTAATCATATTTCATACATGTATTACTATATTATATTATGGTACTAAATTTAAGAACCTTTCAAATTGGAGGTCCTATGTGACCGGCTAGCTCCATGATCGGCACATGCATATTTAGCGAGCAGAGAGCGAGCAGAGTATACGATGGCTTTAGTATGCCTATTTAATCAATATTTACCATTTTAATAGGTGGGGGCAAGTATTTTTTATTTTTATTTTTTTTTTCGTAGAAGTAGAAACACTACCGAATGAACATGTTTATTTAGTGAATATATTAATGACATAATATGTCGGACTTACTTAATATCTTTTCAACCTTCTTAGGAAGTGTATCAAATTACATAACTTAATTTATTAGTGGAGATATTATTTCAAAAAAAATTAGAAGTTGCAATTATATTGCCGTTATTTTTATAATATATATGTATATATATATACTGTAATATTTTTCCTAATAAAATTTGAAAAATAAATAAAAATGTCGTTAACGTAACGTCTGCCCCCGAAGGGACACACAAACTCGACGTCTCCTTGTCTTCATCGCCTTTCCGTAGGAGGCATGGTGACGTGCGTATTAAATACCTTCCACGTGTCCACGTTTCTGAGCATCCCCAAACTTCATTCCAAATCTACCCTCACTTTGAACACGTCACCTCTATAAATATGCGAGTGTATATAATACCGTCTTACTGAATAAAACACCCACTACCACGACAGTTATGCTCCCAAATCTCGCCTAAACAACTTCCCCCACTCTCTCTCTCTTTCTCTCTCTCTCCTCTACGCGTATATTCTCCCCGGCATAGCGTAACGGTCATATTTCCGGTCATCTTTTTTCTCTCTCTAAAAATTAACCATTAAACCCCTCTTTCTCTCTCTACATTTTCTCACTTCTCACGTGTTCACACCCAACTTACAGCCTTGCTCTCTCTCTACCTCTTTTACTTTCTCTCTCTCAAAGTATTTTCAGGTTGTGTTTTGGGCGAAAATTAGGGTTTTGAGAGTGTAGTTTGTGGATGAGATGTGAATAGTGGCTGTGTACTATGATGGTGGCTGCTGTGTCTGCTTCACTAAACCCTAAGGCTTCATCACAAGGTGCGATTCAAAGGAACACGACGAAGAGGCCTCCATTGTTGTCCTCTGAGGCTGACAATGGCGTCTCTGGCAATCGGAGACCTAAATCGAGAGAAGTCACTTCTCGGTACATGTCTTCTAGGTCTTCCACTTCCACGACTTCGACCTCGGCTAGCTCTTCTACGTATTCGTCGTCCTCCAATTCGTCTTCTTCGACGCGGTGTCCTTCGCCGCTCGTTTCGAGAACGGTTCCGGTGACGACGCCGATGCCGGCGCATTCCGCGATTAAGCGATCGCAATCGGTGGAGCGGAGGCGCCCGGTGACGCCTCGTCCTACTACGCCGGAGATGTCAGCAGCTGCGAGGTTATTGGTCAATTCAACGAGGAGGTTGTCGGTTTCGTATCAGGGAGAGTCGGTTCCGACTAGTAAGACGAAGACCGCGCCTTCGACAAATAATTTGAGTAATGTGAGGAAAGGAACGCCGGAGAGGAGGAAGGCGGCAACACCGGTGAGGGATCAGAGGGAGAATTCGAAGCCCATTGATCAGTATCGGTGGCCAGGGAGATCACGGCAGGTGAATTCTTTGATGAGAAGTTCGGATTTTACTGTGGAGAAGACGAAATTTGGTGGATCTGGGAGTGTTAAGGAATTGCAAAAATCCATGATCAATGAGAGTCATAAAGCCTCATTTAATGGTAGATTGAAAGTTGATTCCAGCAATGCGGAGCTCAAAAAGGCAGCTCAGCTTGTTGTTGATCCAAATTCAGCTATTGGATCTGCTGTGAACTCTGATCCTGCTGCTTCAGATAGCGAAAGTGTTTCCTCTGGAAGTAATTCAGGTATGCAGGAATGTGCAAGTGTTGCTCAACCGAGGGGAGGACCTCGTGGTGTAATGGTTCCGGCAAGGTTTTGGCAAGAGACTAATAACAGGGTGAGGCGGTTGCCTGAGCCAGGGTCCCCAGTGTCAAGAAACAATGGATTGAAACCGGTGGGTCCACCTAAGCTAATTGCGCCAAAGAAATTATTGAATGATAGTCCTTCATCATCACCCCGGGGAGTCTTAAGTAGCAGGGGACTGTCTTCTCCTCTTCGTGGGGCAGTTCGGCCGGCTTCCCCTAGTAAGCCCGTGACATCTTTGACTCCATACCCTTCGAGGGGGTTGGCCAGTCCGACTCGGGTAAGGAATGGTGTAGCAAGCACATTCAATGACAATACGAGCAACACAGAGTCTATTTTCAATTTTGCTGCGGATATTAGAAGAGGGAAAATGGGGGAGAACCGGATTGTTGATGCACATATGTTAAGGCTTATGTATAATCGGCAATTGCAGTGGCGATTCGTGAATGCAAGAACAGAGGCTTCCCTGTTGGTCCAGAGGGTGACTGCAGAGGTAAAGCTCCCTCACCGTACTTGTTATTCACTTGTATTTTTATTCTGCTATGTTTAGCTCCAACAATAATTGATACATAGGACTCTTAGTTGTATTTGATTTTCTGGTACCTTTTGACAAATTTACATTCAATTGCCTTCAATATCTGTGGCATTGATTTCAATTGTTTGGTTGGAAGTATCAGCATGTAGGTTTTCATGTTGATGCTATTGGATGCAGTTATCAGATTAGAAGATGGATTTGATCTTCTTAGTATCTATAAGTAGACTGGAGAGTAAAGGTTGATTTCAATTGAATGGTTGGAAGACGGATGATCTTGAAATAGAGTGCTTGAACCCCCCTCCTTTTATCTATCACTCCTTTATTCCTCCTCTACATCCAGCCCAGAAGTCAATGACTACACATACCGAATCAAGCCAACTTGAGTTAGGGATCCTCTGTAACTTAGCAAATGACCATAGGTGTACTTCGGGAAGATAGTCACACCGTCATATTTTGTCCCTTCCAAATGCACTAAAAGAAGGTAAAAATATCCACATTCTAGTGACAACAAGTTAACAATCCCTCACATTAGCACCCTATCAATAATACAGGGTCAGCATTAGCCAACAAACCGCCAAGCCTAAAAAAAGAAGGAAACATATGCAAAACCCCATTCAGGAATTGAATGACAAAAAAGGAAGCGACAACTAACTCTACAATACACAGACAAAATATTAAGAGAAAAAATGTCTTCTACTTCCCAGTTTTCAATAGCAAATCTTAATCTCATTGGCCATCAAACAAAAAGTGGCAAGTTATTGATTATGGAATCTACAACATCACCTAAAAAGTAACTGTTATGTCGAATTGTTGGTATCTCCAAACATGCTCTTAAAGTTTCACTATATTTTGGTATTTGATAATAACACTAATATTCACTCATTTGCAAGTAAGATCTTATTCTATTTCCAGCCCATACTTTACCTTCTTCCACACCAATAGGTCTCTCCATCGAGTCTATACATTTAACTCAAATATAATTCAAATTTCACTCATCCAATCTAGGTTTTCCTCAATGAGACAACAGAAAAAACCTCTCACGGAAATTTACAAGCCATCCCTAACATCCCTCTCTCCTCTATCCTCATGCAGTTCTATCTTTATGCAGTTCACCAACAAACAATGATAATGATCAGATTAACCACTGCATGAGCTGCAGAAAGTCCACTAAGAACGTATATTGACACAAGCGAACACATTATCTCATTATATCCTTCAAGTCAAAATGCTTGAAACTTTTGCTTCCAGCTAGTTTCTTAATCCTAAATTTTAGATCATTAAGTTATCTTTCTTCTGCCTAAACATGCTAATTTCTACCTAACTGGTCTTTCTGATTCTTTCTTTCCCTTTTTCGGCAAGGATGTGAACCCCCAACTCGTTTACCAAGGTTCTCTTTCGATTGCTGTTTTTGGTTGTAGTGCTGGGGGATAGGAGATGTATTTTTAGTGAAGAGGAAACGAATATTAGGTATGACCATCATTGCACCTGGTCAATCATGAATATAGAAGCATATAAGAGAAAACCAAAATTTGTCCTAAATCATTCCTAAGAAAACCATATAATCATAAGGAGCTATCCGAGTGGTAATTATATGTCACAACTTTAAATTTAACTGCCTCTTATACTAAACGTAACCTATCACATAAAATAATCCACCTCCAAATGATAATCCTTAAGGACCAATATGTCTCCAGAATAAGCTCGATTTGGGTGATATAATCCCCTTAAATGATTTTCACCAGGCCACCTTAAAATCTAGCAAAGGGACCATATACGCAGTCTACTTTTCTATCGTCAATATTGAAGGGTTAATTAATCTCAGGAATAGATTCAACTAGGTTAATTACATCTTTTGCATAATTTCGACAAGTTGCTATGCCATGCAGGCTAGAGTTTCAATAGTCACTCCAATGGGTTCAATATACAACCAGGCTGGAGGTCTCTTATACCCTACCAAACTTGAATGGGGTCCAAAAAATGTCCGGTTGGGTATGAGTTTCAGAATAGGTTAACCTTCATTTGGTATTAATCACCTTTAATTTGGTATTAATCACCTTTCATTTCAACCATAATAGAATCTAGATTTCACAAGGATAATTGAAAATTTTCAATTTTGGACTAATAGACATTTCAAAATATAATTAGAAAATTTTTCATTAGGAATAACATGCAAAATAATGGAGCTCTACAAGGTAGGATTTGTAATACAACTTAAAAGACATAGTTGTAATAAAACTTAAAAAACATAAGGATTGTGTCTTTCAAAAGCATGAAAACACAAGGAGAGTGTCCAACAAAAGCATGAAAATAATAATAATAATAATGAGAGTGTCCAGAGTATTCACCTCAAAGTGGGATGATTTATACCTTCATATTTCAGGAAAATATAAATTGCAAGTTAAGTTGGAAAAGGAAAATTAGATTTTGAAATGAAATTCAGAGAATACATTTCAAACTAAATTATGACATACTCAACCTTTCTTTCATAGTTATTAAAATTTTATGACCTTAAGACTTGACCATTTGTGGTGTGGTGTGGTGTGGTATGGATAATTCATAAAGCAAGCCTTGAATAGGATTTAGAAACAAAGGTCCAAAACAAAAGCTGACATGGAGTTTTGAACTTACATGAAACCATCATTTTTACAATCAAAACAGAATCAGGAAGTAACAAAAATACTTTTTAGTATATTTGAAAACCATGCAAAAGTCACATACTTATCTTGTTATCCATATTGTAAATGGGTAGAAAGGTTTGTAAGTTGATCATTCTACAAGCTTCAAGCTGTAAACAAAAGTTTGCATTTATAGAGACTAATGACAGGCTGATTCGAGGACAAATGATGACATACTAACAATAAATTGTGAATATTATAATTGAGTTGAAAACTAACAGGGTGGCGAAGTAAATCCTACTGTATTAGAATCAGAGAGATCAATTAACATTAGGAGATAAATCAGGATTAAACTAGCTTGAAACCATAAATTTAGAACATGATTAGAATTAAAAATTAAAAGAATTCAAACCCTAAGTCAGAAACCATACATTAGTCAGTTATCTAGTTGATGAGTCTTACTAGTAAGCTTTTCTTCTCTTTCACTCTCTAGCTCCTTTGCTTGAAGACCCAAAAGATGTAGACAAACACACATGTTGTTGACAGTCAAGGCTTGTCCCCTATTTATAACGCCATAAGTTGGTTACTAAGTACTAATTTGTGCAAAATCCATGCTATTTTTAGATCTCTTGATTCTCTCCACACCAAGGACCAAATCACAATGGATCGAAGCCCTCCTTACCTTTCCAATTATGACCTTAGAGATCGGCCAAGCCATTTTGTCCCTCACTTTAACATGATTCTGCTATGAAAATGATACTGATTGACATAAATTCTATTCGAGTAAAGTTCTTTGTTTGTGTGTTTTATAACTGTTAACTTTTTGAACTAATTAAAAATAATATAAACTTAAAATCTAAAGGATAATAGCACAAAAAGATCCTGCCTGATTCACTAATTCGTGGGAAGAGACTGAACTCTGGTATTTGAAAAATATGACTCCATGTTGAAAGTCTTCAATTAGACCAGAGCGTTAGATTTTATTTTATTTGTTGACTTCTTTCAAAGGGGAATGAATGGAATGAAGAAAAGAAGAGAGGAGGAAAGCGGTTCACTTGGAGTTTGTCTCTTGAAAATAGTTTTCTTTCTTTATTCTCTTAAAGGTTTTTTTCTCTATTTTATTTCATGGTATCAAAGCCAACAAGAGAATTAGGGTGCTTAAACAAGTTTCATTGTAAACAACGTCAAAAAGTTCTAATTATGAAATTAGTCTAATTAATTTCATTAATTCAGTTCTCTAGTCAATGAACAAAACCCAGATTTTATCAACTTCTAAATGGTAAGTATTTCTCCAGTTTTAAGAGTTCAAATATTTTTGTTATGGTGCAAGGTTACTAAATCACAATGCCAGCAGAATCCTACATTTGGAACAAATCTAGCCTCCTCGTAGCACTCTGTGATGGCTTAGGTATAAAAGGTTGACTTTTTGACTTTCAGAAAACGTCAATCTTGGGCAGGTCATTGCATTGCATCTATATGTTGTCAGACTGCTGGGGATTTTGCACCACTAGGCCAAAGTCCCTTTGGTTTGGGATGATTCATACCTTAAAAATTGATTAGGCACTGAGCTTCTATAGCTTTGTATACGGTCTACATTTACTGATTCATCCTTAATTTATTCATTTTAATGACTTTATTTTCTATAGAAAAATTGTTAGTTATATGTGTATTTGATACAAGTTTTTTAAATTGAGCTGAGAATTAATGATTCACAACTGAAAAGTTTGTTTCCTTACCTTTCTCAGCTAATGTATGTCAATATGTTTTATAAATATGGGAATAAGTAATTTATTTAGGAGATAGATTTTATTGGGTCCGTCTCAAGAATACATTGGTTAGGTTTGTTATTGTTATTATATAAACTTATATGACTTGAACTTTGAAATCTATATATGTGCATTTTGCAGATTTCACATTTTTTAGTGTTTTGCCACATGCATTATAAATGAATTTATTAGTTTTGACTTTTAAATGTTCAAAGAGAGTCAAAGGGTGAGAGAAAGACACAGGTCTCTAACTGTAGAGGATCTTTTTGTATTATTGATATGAATTAATTCAGTGGAAACCTAAAAAAATTGCATTCTAAGAACTGAAGTAGTTAACACTTGCATATTAGTTCTTGTGCAGTTACCTCGTATGCTCTGTGTAGCAACCGTGTATCACATATTTCAGCACACAAAACTTAATACCAAGATTGATATATATGCAGAATGATGCAGCACACAAAACTTAATACCAAGATTGATATATATGCAGAATGATGCAACACAATCATCCTTTGACGGTAATTTTGACTCTCTTTGCACACTTAACAGTCAAAACTAATAAATTCATTAATAATGCATTAAAGTGTACATATATAGATTTCAAAGATCAACTCATACAAGTTTATATGAGAACAATAACAAACCTAACCAATGTATTCTCGAGACGGACCCAAACAAATCTATCTCCTAAATAAGTTACTAATTTCCATATTTATAGTTCATATTGACATCCATTAGTTGAGAAAGGTAAGGAAACAAATTAGCTGAGAAAGGTAAGGAAACAAACTTTTCAGTTGTGAATCATTAATTCTCAGCTCAATTTGGAAAACTTGTATCAAATACACATATAACTAACATTTTTTCTAAAATAAAGTCATTAAAATGAATAAATTAATCAGTAAATGTAGACCATATACAAAGCTATAGGAAGCTCAGTGCCTAATCATTTTTTAAGGTATGAATCATCCCAAACCAAAGGACCTTTGGCCTAGCGGTATAACCTCCCTATCCTTAAAGAGGAGGGGAGGGGTTTGAGCCCGGGCGTGGGCAAAAGGGTGTGTGTGTTTATTTTTTGTAGCGATCTTGTTTTCTCAATCTTATTATAATGAGGATTTGGAGGAAATTTTCACCTAAATGTTCTTATCTGTATCAGAAAAGGATTTATAATGCATGGGTAACTACCTCAAAATTGTGGCATTCTGTCAAATCCAAAAGAATGGAGTTACAGTTGCTGAAGCAAAATTTGAAGCTTTATTCCATCCTCAAGGGACAAGTAAGATCACTGGTTCATTGTCTTCTAATGAGTGTTTTTGGCTTGAATGTTGTTTTGCTTGAATCATGCCGTAGTTTGTTTAATGAAAACTGCAGTTGGTTTGAATGCGTCTTCTTATGCTAGGTTTTTGCTAGTCATTTTTTTAGCATTTTTTTGTCATCTCTTCTTTTGGATATACCTTACCACTCTCTCTCATGCATATTCGCAATGAGTTTACACATAGTAATTAGCACCGCTAATACTCAGTCTTCCTGGCAACTCTACCCTTTGAGCTTGAGTAGGAGAACAAAAATGTTGATAATTGTGATACTAAAAGAGAAATTATGTCGTCATTATTTAAAGTATGTATACTATCACTTTGGAATTGTCTGATTGAATGGTCTGAATTTGGAGCTCTACAAGTGTTGACTGCTTAAGGCCTCATGTCTTACAGTATTTCTTATTATTGATTACAGTGATTTTGAGATGCATGCTGTTCATAGGTAGCATTTGTTTTGTCTAGTCCTAGTCGTCTGCTTAAAATATTAAATCTGATTGTATTTGATTATTGCAGATGTTATACCTGGACAGTTGGAATCTTATTGACAGGGATCACTCCAGTTCATTGACAGGGGCCATCAAAGCTTTGGAGGCCAGCACTCTCCGCCTTCCTGTTGTTGGTGGGGCAAGGGTATGTTTCTTCCATGTTAATTTCAAAAACAAAGTGATATCTCAATTGCCCAATTGATTGGCAATTGACATATATGGGGCTTGTAAACATCTTTTATGGTCTTTGTTCCTGCAGGCAGATATTCAGAATGTGAAAGATGCTATTTGTTCAGCAGTTGATGTGATGCAGGCAATGGCACCCTCAATATGCTCTTTGCTATCAAAGGTAATCTTTTTAATCTTTTGAATTTCCTTCCTATTTGTATGTTTATGATAAAATTTTAATTGTTTTTGTCATTTGTTTCTGGGCATGGTATTTAACTGGTTTTGTTTATTAATACTTTTGGATTGATCATTTTCTTGGGAAATAACTGAGATGAATGGATTTTTAACCATAAAAGACCCCCCTATTTACATATATGAATTTTACTGATCAGTAATAATAATAATGCTAGTCATTTTATGTTTACCAAATTTATCAAATAATATTAATCAATAATCAATGCAATTTTGAATTCGAGTCAGATAAAAAGGATAATACATTTCTTCACTCAAAAAAGAGAATAATTTAGGCCTAAAATTAAGAAGAGTTGGTTGATTCATTTCTAGATTGAATTTATATCTCATTGAATTAGTTATGGATTTTAGAATCAACATATGACTGGTCGGCAATTGTCGACCCAAAAGCAATACTTAGGTCCTTACTGACGAGGACCTACACCATCCTTACCACATATGTGGCACAATTCATGGTCAATAAAAAATACCATCCAAAGATGAAATGGGTCCACCTGACTTCCATTCATTTTTCTTTTAGTTTTATTTATTTATTTTATTGACAATAAAAATTGATGTGTCATAACAAGATTGTGCCAAATATGTAGTGAGGATGATGTAGGTTCTCACCGGTGAGGACCTAAGTATTGTAATTATTGGGTGTTGTTGCTTATCACTCTTATAAGCCCAATACTCTCCTCGTCTGTATCTGATGTGGGACAAGACTCTTGTGATATTCGCCCCCATTCAAAACCCTAAGGGCCTCGTTGTGGTCAGACCACCTTGCTTACCTGTCCACCCCAACGGCGGGAGGACCTAGAAATGATCCAGGCAGAACAACTGTGGAAGACCCTCGACGTTTTCGGATTGGTTTGGGGACTATTTTGGGACCAAGCTGGTCCTGACTCCTAATGGTTCCACAATAATTGGAACCAAACCGCATCAAACGGTTCTCACGGGAAAATAGACAAACTGAAGGATAATATTGATGTTCATCTCAATCTAAAAATCGAACACAAAGGCAAAAGACCTATAAAGAAGAAAATCTTGCATTTATCTAAAACGATCCATAACAACAGAGAAAACCCAAAATTTTGCCACATCTACAACATCAGATCCCATACCAACAAAAGAAAGAAAACAAGAGAGAGAGAGAGAGAGAGAGAGAGAGAGAGAGAGAGAGACCCAAAAGGCCCTAAAAATTGAAACAAATATTGAATATTACCCAGTGTTGTGAAACATGAATTGAGAGAGAGAGAGATGTAGGCGAGGCCCAAAGAACAAACGACGGTAGCTGATGGGAGGATCGACGATAGCGAGGAAGGATCGGCGATGAACGTGAGAGAGGAGGAGGCCACGACAGTGACTCGGTAAGGTTGCGTGCGTGTGTTTGAGAAGCCTATGTCTCTGTGAGGAATGAGAAAAGAAAGTTCAACATTTAGAATTAGGATATTTATTATATATATCTAATATAACATATATAAGTATATAATATATATAAGTAATTAAATGGTTCAGTCACAAAGGTCCCCAAATCATAACCGAACCGTAATTCTACGGTTCCATTATTTTGGAGCCGGACCTGACTGAACCGTTAAAAAAACCGATCCAGTTTGGATTTTCGGTTCCACCGGTTTTTTTGTACGGCCCTACTTGGCATGACACCGAATAAGGAATTGGGTCGGCTCTGAAACCACAACCTGGCCAGGCACTTGGAAAACACTAAGGCCATGACTTTTTTTCTTAGGGAGTGTTTCTTAACATTCACACAAGCAACTTATACCCAAAAAAAAAAAAAACATTCACACATGTAGTGCAATGCAATTTAAATGCATTCTAAATGTTCCAACACTTGTGTAATATATATAATTCATGATGAAAAATAACAATGATATTTCAATTCAAAAACACTTTTTAACATTCACACAAGTAATGCAATGCATTCTAAATGTTTTAACACTTGTTTAATATATATATATATATATATATTATGATGAAAAATAGAAGAATTGTGAAGGATCATCCTATTAATGTTGCTTTTACCTTTTTAATCAAAAGCGATGACTAAGTTTTTAAATTTTGAGCTTCTTGGTCTTCGACAGTCTGTCTTCATTGGATCGGTAGGCATAAAAACTCAACTGCTCAAAATAAAATTAAAATTACTGATTCATGAATAATACATAACAGATATTACTGTCCAAAGATTAAATCTGTGTTACAAAACAACACGTTTTCAGTTTGAATGGGTAGTAGCTAGATCGTAGCATTACGGAGAAAGTGCATGTAGGGAACTTTCAGAACATACTGTGTTTTAGATAAAAACTTTTTCCGATATGTTTTCCACTTTAGCACATCGTGTTGCTTCCTATATTTTGTTTCTTTATGCATTCTGTTTCAGTAATATTATGTACTGCACAACCCTCGATAATGATATAAAGTTGTATTGGAGGCTCGGAGCCTCTATTTCTTTGATGAAAATGGGAATGCTGTGTTCAGGATTCTGTTCCTCAAATTTGTACAACCTTTAAATGAATAATAAGGGAAAAAAAAAAATTAGCCATCTATATAGTTTTTTGCAAGTCCTTTTTCAATGCTACCCCATCATTATGACCGTATTTGTGACAATGCACTGACTTAGGTAATTTTAAATCAACTATTGAATTAGATGTTATCTTCATTTTAGCTCTTGCATTCATGGCCATATATTTTATTTTTGATGTGTCAAAACCAACTGTGATTAACAGGTAGAGCAAGTGAACGTGGTGGTATCTGAACTTGCTAACATAACTGCAAACGAACGTGCTTTGGTTGATCAGTGCAAGGACATCATGTCAACGGTAACTGCTATGCAGGTAAGGATGGTTAAAAGGTCATTAAAAAGCCAAAAGTGGGAGAATGGTTTAGCTTAGAGAAATTTACTTGGGGTATGTTCAATAGATAGATACTAGTATCGAAAAGTGAAAGTAAAAGAAAATGAAGTGAATGTTATCTTTCATACCATTTCATTGCTTGGAATGCATGAAACTTAAAGAAATAACTATAAATTCATAAAACTTTTTCAAAAAATTAATTTGTATAGAATTTTTTTTATGGGATGTTAGGTGGTTATGGAAAATGCCTTTCAAAAATTTCCTTTTCCTACTAGATAAACTCCTAAAATGTTTAATAATTTTCCATTCTTTTTCTTTCTTTCTATTTCCATCTAATCAAACGGAGCCTTATTGTTTGCTGAAGAATTTTTTTCTTCTAGACTTTTTTATTTTCCGTGCCCTGCTTTGGCTTGAAAAATATTTCAGCCATAATTCTTCTTTGTTTCGGTCACAAGTTACTCTCAAAATTTTATCCTTGTCAAGAACTGACAGAAGTCGTGAAACCAGGTGAATGATTGCAGCCTGAGAACGCATATATTACAACTGAAACACGTACCCTCAAGCTTGACAACGCAAGTGTAAAACTCCATTTGACTCCCTAATTGAAATGCTGACGTCCATCGAACACAGACAGAAATATTATACGTATCAATGCAGTTTGTAAGAGGTGAAGAAGAATGATCACTATTGCCATGCTCGGATTTATGGAAAGCAGTTGTGAAAAATACTTTGTATACACAGGTACTAGGATATCACTAGTCTAGTTTCAAATTAGATTATATACGGGAATTTTCTCTATAGGTCAAAGAAAAATATATGTATATATGTGTGATATTTTCTCATTCAATGGTGCTAATCTAAAATTTCTTTTTCGGTACACAGTCATCTTGCATTGCTCGTGTTCAGTGTTTTTATAGTTTTCTAATCATACTACATAGTTTCATTTGCAAGAAGGGATAGAATTGTAAATTTAAAACATGGATCTCTTTGTTTTTTTTTTTTTTTTTTTTTTTCTGAGTTATTTTTCTCTAATTTTACAAATTCTAATTCCAAAATTTCAATTTTATACGTATGTTTTTTATATAATTTTTTTTTTTAACGGAAGTTTCTTAATTGTTTTGTTTCATTGTCTGGCTATTAGATGCTCATTTTCTTGGATCATGCTTGTGTTTCATAATCCATTATGTTTCCGTCTTCCACTTTTCCATCCTAATACTTGGTGTGGTAGAAATTGAAAACTATTGTTTGACTTGACTTCAATTCTTCAATGTGATTTTTATTTTTTCCTTTCAACTTTTTCTAGCCTACCAAACAGGAACGGTGTTTATCTAACCGTACGGTCTAATGTGAAATATGGTAGTACTTCAGGAAGTTTCGAGGAAAATCATTGCCTCATAGAAAATGTACCTTCCAGACTTCTTTTGGTCCCACATTAATGTTCAAAAAGACTTCGACTAGTCAGTGTTTGAGGTGTCATTTTTAATATATATTCTATTCTGAAATTCCAACTAGATTATTATTATATTCTTAATAATTGAGCAGGTTGTGAAAAATAATAATAATAATAAAGTTTAAGATGAGTTTAGACAATTTTAATGAGAATAGCTACCAATAAATAAATAAGTAAATGCTAGTGAGAGAATGGACACTAATATTGTAGTGGAACTAGAAGTTGTTGGTGATGATGGAGTTTCTGTGGCACCACTCTGCATCCTCTACGATAAGTCGTGTTTCTCTTACCAACAAAGAAATTAATTTTTTACATTCCATTTTATTTTTAATAATTGTTTATATGCTTTTTTTTTTTTTGGTATTATGCCTCCCTTCTATCCAGCCTTTTACTTTTTAAATATTTTCCCAGGCTTACTAGCAAAATAAAAATAATAAAATTGCTTCAACATTTGAAATAATAATAGCTAATTCTCCATATTGTAAAAAAAAATTGCTTACAACTAAAGTATTTCTTTCGGATGTAAAATCGCTAATTATATTTTTGCATTTAAATCTCTGTGTTTTTTTTTTTTTTTTTGGACCCATTTGAATCTATTTAAGATGTCAAAATAATACCAAAACTAATAATGCGACCAATGCTGTTAACAACTTAACAGGGACCTTTGAATTAACACCACAAGTTTATTGTTGTTTTATTAGTTGGTGTGCCACGTGCCGACTCTTGGGTCCAAGTGCCGACCAACTTATAAAATTTGGCAAATTGACTTGATTGAAGCTTCCATGGGTGATTTACTAGAATGTTCTGTCTTGGTATGACTCCTATCAAATTATAATCCTAAGCTGCTTTTGGAGGCCGAATTCGCGTTCACATATCATAATCATGGGCGCAAATCTTGGAAGTGCAATTTTTATTCGGTTCCTTGCATTATATTGTAAGTTGTCTATATTTGATCGCGTAATTCTTCATTTAATAGTTTCTAAGATTTCATTTGGCAATTACACTATCATTTATGAATAGCATTTCATCACTATTTATAAATAACATCATAATAGTCTAAAAAATAATATCATCATTTGTAATAGGGTAACATCACCACTTAAAATAAAAGTTATTGACAGTCAAATATCTCATAAAGTGAAAATCATCTTCACCCTCAAAATAACGTATGCACATAATGCGGACTAAGTAATGTTATATATAATTGTAACTCAATTCAACATATCATTTATATTATTATTTGAAATTAAAGAATTCTAACATGTTAATTTAAAGAATTTAAACCAAAATTAAAGTCACTTGGATAAACTTTAGATAACAAACAAAACACTTTATATTTCCAAAAATAATGAAAAGAGTCACAACTTTTTTTTTTCTTCCAAATATTGTAAAAAACATACTCTTAAGTATAAATTATTTAACATATCTTTGAAAAAAAATTGACAAAATTTAATATTAATTACCACACTCACCACTTTCACCATTAAAAAAAAGTATTTACGTACTACTGAAAAGTTAATAGTCACACATAAGCTCATAGTCACATATAAATATATATAGATGTATATGTATTTATATATTACTTAAATGGTGATGTTACTCTTTTACAAATGGTGATATTACTTTTTAGACTTCTATGATATTATTTATAAATGGTAGTCAAATGTTACTTATAAATTGTGGTATAATTGCCAAACACAGTTTTAGGAGCAATTAAATGAAGAAACACGTGGTCAAATATAAACCACTTACAAGACACTGCAGGGGACCACATAGAAATTGCACTTCAAAGGATTTGCGTCCCATAATCACATGGAGTAGACATAAGAAGCTTCATGTTCACATATCATAATCACATGGAGCGGATTTTGTGAGATATATTATTGTAAATTGGCATATTTCGGTAACAAAACAAGTCCTAGTCGAGTTGTAATTTCAGTTACCATATCAGACTTGACATCGATTGCGGAATTCAGAGGTTGACGGAAGAGGAAAGTATTGTTGATTGTTGAAAAGACAAGAAGGACGATTTAGACATCGTTTCTCACTTATTCCCACTTAGGACACAATAATATACATGGTATATTTTCAGAGTTATCAAAATACAGACAATCTAAGTTCAGGCTGGAATCTGTCAAGTGGGAATCGGTTCAAGATTTAGGAACCGGTTCCAGAGGCTAATACTCAAAGGATAATTCTCTGCCAAGTGGGAACTGGTAGCAGAAATAGGAACCAGTAGCCAAATACGTCGGAAAGGCTTCTGATCTTCTTGAACCGGTAGCCAATTTGGGAACCGGTAGACTTGAACCGGTAGCCAATTTGGGAACCGGTAGCAACAGTCCTGACAGCATTCGGACTTTCAGTTTCCTGTTCCCCTTTTTGATTCCACTTTCCTTCTAAAGTCCTATACACGAAATTTTCCTTATTTTTAAGAGGAATAGGACTTTGCAAACCTCTATATAAACCATGTCATACACAAGGTTTATAAAACGGCTTTTGTTATACAGATTCAATATTTTTAAAGCCTTAGGAAGTTAATCCCTCTCAGAAAATCAAAGTTGATTTTTCTGTAGTCTTCCTAGAACATACACATATTCACCTAGTTAGGTTAGAGTTATGGAGTTCGAATCCTGATCGTGATCATACAGTTGTATTAACATCGATCAGACGAAGCAAATCTTCTTCTATATCATTCAGACGATTGAAGAACAGAAATGAGCGCAATCACACTTTTGAAAGGGTTGGAGCATTCGTGGAGTGTTATCTGATCTACCTGCTACTCTTCTACAAATATCAAGTGTCAGTCTGAGATCAAGTTGCTGTTGGATGAGGAGTCACAAAGCCAGAGGATCAACAGCGGTTGGTATGGTGTAGAACGATAGGGTGTGAGCCAGAGTCAAAGTTCGGTATACTTTGTTTCAAGCATAGTGGATTGGTTTACTTTGGATTGCACAGTTTACGAGGTTTTTCCCATAACAGTTGACGTATTTTATCAACTGGGGTTTCCTCGCTAAAATCCTAGTGTCATCTCTAACTTTATACTCTGCATTATTTTATCTGCATATGATTAACTGTTTAATTGTTAAAACATAAAATAAGCAAAATTGTTAAGGACACAGATCTGTTAACTAGAACAAACTAAAAATTTCTAAGTAATTTTCACTGCGTACGACTCACAATTTGGTATCAGAGCAGATCTCTATACACTGAGTTGATCCTTGTTAGAAAGTTTAGTTTTGTTGTTTGTTTTCAAAAAATTGTTTTTGACATCATGTCTTATGCGTTGGAAGAAGGTGGTTTTAATCAACGTGGTCCTTTATTTGAAGGAGATAATTACAATTTTTGGAAATCAAAGATGAGAGCCTATTTGCAAAATTCTGGTTGTAAAACTTGGGCTATAATTGAAACTGGCTATACACCTCCTACAGTAGATACAACTGTGGATGGTAAAATAGTCAAAGAGTTAAAAGATAATTTTGCTTTTACTGCTATTGAAACTGAGCGTAATGATGTTAATGGCAAAGCTTTATATTCAATTATTAATTCTGTTGTTCCATCTGAATATGCTAGAATTTCTGATTGTAAAACTGTTAAAAAAGCTTGGAATATTTTGCAGGTTACTCATGAAGGAACTTCAAAAGTGAAGTTACCCAAAATCCTGTCGCTCTCTCATAAATTTGGCAACATTGTGATGAAAAAAGATGAATCATTTTTTGACTTTTATTCTAGTCTTCTTGAAATAATTTCTGAACTGCGTCACTTAGGGAAAAAAGTTAGTGATAAAAAAATCTGTGGGAAAATCTTAAGGTCTTTACCTAAAAGATTTCAGATTAGGGTTAAAACCATCTCTGAACATTGGGATTTGACTACTTGTCAAGTTGATGAGATGGTAGGTTCATTAAAAACTTTTGAGATGTAGAATTTTGATTTAGGTCAGAAGGAGAAAAATCTTTCATTGAAATCTACATAGGTTGAGAATTTTGTGGATGACAACTTTGATGATAATCTTGCATTCTTGTCAAGACAATTCAGTCAGATTTTGCAGAGACAACAGAGGAGAAGGAATAGCAACATGGCTAATCCTCAAAACTTTGACAAAACATTAAAGTTTAGGTTTAATGAAAAGAAAGTAGAAGAATCCAAATAAACTGAATTCACATGCTGGAATTGTGGCGGCAAAGGCCATACATCCATTGTTTGTCCTAGTCTTAAGAAAAAACAATAGGATAAGAATAAAGAGAAAGCAATGAAAGTTTCTATATCTGAAAATTCTACTTTAAGTGATAGTGATTCTCCTTGGGATAATTCTAATGATTATTCTTATGTAGCTTTTCTTGATAGAGGTCCTCATGTTGTGTCTTTATCTGATTATGATATTTCAGAAAACGAAACTAATGAAGTTCATGATGAACAGGTACAAGAGGCTG